CACACACACACACACACACATATAGGAGTGAGCATGTGCAGGAAGTTCCCACAGCCACTACCCCAGACCATCACATTACATGAGAATGGCTTGTGCTCTTCTGCAAACCTTGTGACTCATTATATGGCATTATTGTGCTCTTTTCTTACAGTGCAGATTTTCTTAGCCCTTGCCCCAAACCTTTCCCAAATGGCCTCTGCTCACAGATACAGAGAAGTAGACAAGGGGCAGGTTTCTCTCTGGCTTCCCTGGTCTTACTGGCTCCAACTTCTTTATTTATCTCCCAACCCTTTGGGAGGATGGGAGTAAGGGAAGGAAGGAAGCAGTGTCTCACTTGTGACAACTTGTCTAAAACCTGAAACCAGCCCTGGCCAGTGTAGCTCAGTTGATTGGGGGTCCTCCCTGCACAGAACGGTTGCTGGTTGATTCCAGGTCAGGCAGGGCACATGCCCAGGTTGGTTGCCGGCTTGATCCCCAGTAGGGGGCGTGCAGCAGGTAGCCAATCTACTGTATGTTAAACTCTCACATTGAGGTTTCTCTCTTCTCCCTTCCTCTCTCTCTAAAAATTAATAAAGTAGTCTTTAAAAATAAAATCTGAAACCATTTTATTACTCTATTTCTCATTCCTTCTACCCTAACTTCTATTCTCTCTAACCATCTGGCTGAGGATGTAAGAGTTCAGGCATGAGATGAATATAAAGCATGCTCCAGGGCAAAACGGAAGATATGTCAATAGAGATTCTCCCTCTGCATTCTGATAGTAACTCTGAGCCCTTGCTGGTACGGGCAGCTGGGACTAGTAAGGAAAACCTCAAGCCCTGGCAGGATAGCTCAGTTGGTTAGAGCATTATCCTTATACACCAAGTTGTGGGTTGGATCTCCAGTCAGGGCACATATAAGAATCAACCAATAAATGCATAAATAAGTGGAACAACAAATTGATGTCTCTCTCTCATCAATAAATAATTTTTTTTAAGAAAGAGAAAAACCTCAAGGTCTGAACTGGCAATAGGGCTTGTGAGGTGATTGTTTCATTGGCTATCTTGTTAGAATTGGTTGGTTTGTAAGCCTTCAGAAATGCTAACTGAATGTGTGTGTGTCAAACTTTCTACCCTAGCGCCTCGCCTTCCACATAAGCCCACCCCAGCTGTCTTTAGAAGTTATATATATACACACATACACACGCATGTGTGGTGATAGCAAGAGGGAAAGGGGGGTGGGAATAGGTGGAGGTGGGCAAAGAAGGCATAAATGGAGACTGAAAGAGACTTTGCTGTGGGCGATGGGCACATGATGCGGTGTGCAGATGATGTTTTGTTGAGTTGTACACTTAAAACCTGAATGGTTTTGTGTAGGAAACCGCTTATTGTCTTTACTAGCTGAGAAGCATAGACAGAGACCCCAAAGGCTGGTGACCTTTGAAGCCCTAGCAAAGGTCGGAGCTGTGCACCACCCAGTTAGTCCAGACAATGGTAGCTGAAGCAACTTCCCCACCAGATAGTCATGTAAATCCTTATTGATAAGATAGTCTGCCTATTACTGGAAATTGCCTGCTGATGGGCTAGTCTGTGTGTTATTGGAACTTGCCTGCCTAAGGGCTATGCTATGGGTGTATCCCAGATCAATAAAAGCTTGGTGAGGCCTGAGCACCAGTGGAAGTCCTTCCCCTTGAGTTGGACTTGCCCACCTAGCCCCCCAATATTTCCAATTATCTCTTGTCTCTTCTCTTTCATTTGTGTGCGGCTCCTCTTCCAGATCCTGAACCCTGAACCACGCGGGACATGGAGGGAAACACACACTCAACAGTTTTGTGAACCAATATCACCCCAGTAAGTTAAATTTAAAAAAAAAGAAGTCATCCTCTATGTTGGCTTGGATTCCAGCCCTTTTCTGATTCATTCATCCATCCATCCAATGCATGTGAATGTTTCATAAGAGCATTACTCTCCTCAGTCACTTGCTATTGAGGAGCCTTAGTTTGGCAGTCTGTCCCTGGTTCCATACCCTCCCTTCTGTTAATTACTCTCTTACTAATTAATTTTTTCACAATGTGTTTGACCCAATGGGCTCCTCTGGAATCCCTTTTCCCTCAGCGTTGTAAAAGGGAGGAGAGGGAGGTTGTAAGTGTAAAGCAGACCTAGTAAGGGGGTAGAACTGGTTCTCAGGGTCAAGGCCCCCATATAAGCAAAGAGGTGTGTGTGTGTGTGTGTGTGTGTGTGTGTGTGTGTGTGATGGTAAGGAAAGGAGAAAGCCAGAAAAGACACTCTCATCCCTTTAGCACTCCTATCTCCCTTGCTCACTCACCTACCTCACACATTACAATCACACATTTCGTTTCTCCTGCAGCCCGATCCCAACCACTCTCACCTCTCTCACAGTCCCACATCATGCACACTTTTCAGTCCTTTGTGTGAAAGTGTTTACTGCTTGAGTCTATCTCTTGCTCACTTACCTCCCTCAGACCGTAGACCCCTTGCATAGCCTTTCCTCTGCACACTCCCATTTTGCACAAGCCTCTCCCTCCCTGGTGCACCTGCGTCTTGGAGCACCCACTCCCCTTCCACCCTCACCCGTTCACACACCTACTCTCCTACCAGTGTGCACACTCTCCTTTCTCGGACACTCCCCTCCCTCCATCCTCCCCTGGGCTGCACACTCGCCCCCGCCTCTAGGGACACCTGCTCTTGCCGGGCAGGGCGGGGATGCGCAGCCGCGGCCACTGCTCCTCTCCCCCTCCCCGCCCCGCC